ACCCCTCTCCCTCATCCATCTCTTCTCATTTAAGAAATAGTCAGGAGGCCTTCTTTAGAAAAATTAAAAGTGCTCCTTGTTGCAAAACAATGGGCTGTATAAGGGGAGGGGGAACACATTGGTTTCTTGCATCTTAGTGGAGCGAAATGAAATTTCCCGTAAATGGGTGCCACTTTTGGAAAATCGGCCTTTAATTTCCACGGGGCAATTGGCTTTATTTCCTGGGATGCTTCAAAGATACCCTTGGGATTTGCCTTTCTTTTTCATAACTGCTGCTAGTACTTGTATTAAGCAAATAAGTAAGTCTCCCCTTTCTGCCCACTTCACTGGTTCATACCTTGCCTCATGTGTTCCATGGCTTTCATGCAAACAACCAGACTAAGTAAGAAAAAAGCCCCTCTCCATATGGTAGTTGGAGCTTAAATTAGTTAATGATTGAAAGAGCCCATCAGAAAGCAGATAAGTAGAAAAATGAGATCTTCAGCCTCCAGGGCAAACAGTTTTATTACTTCTGCTGAAGAGGAAGCTGGGTTGGGTAAGTCTTGGGTGTTTTCCCCAGGTGCAGACTTATCCCTCTGGTCCTCCTTAGCAGGAGCTTTGACTCAACGGTCTCATTGTTTGTGAGTAGGGAGGATTATTACGGCAGCGGTGGTAAAGTTGGAGACAATGAGCAATGTTAATGATAATTTAAAAAATTGTGTAGAATTGCTTTGACAGCTTGAAACATGTATGATGAGCATAGGAGAGAGATGGAATCATATCATAGAATGGTTTCGGTTGGAAGGGACCTTAAAGACCATCTAGTTCCAACCCCCCTGCCATGGGCAGAGACGCCTTCCACCAGACCAGGTTGCTCAAAGGCCCATCCAACCTGGCCTTGAACACTGCCACGGAGGGGGCAGCCACAGCCTCTCTGGGCAACCCGCTTCGGTGCCTCACCACCCTCACAGTGAAGAACTTCTTCCTAATATCTAATGTAAATCTACCACCTCTTAATTTAAAGCCATTCCCCCTTGTCCTATCACTACATGCCCTTGTAAAATGTCCTTCCCCACCTTTCCTGTAGGCCCCCTTTAGGTACTGGAAAGTTGCTATAAGGTCTTCCTGGAGCCTTCTGTTCTCCAGGCTGAACAACCTCAACTCTCTTGCCTGCTCCATGGAAGGAAGTTTCTTCCTGAAGCATTCAGTGGACTTCAATAATTACACCAATGAAACTGCCTGTTTTTCTTTATTTAGCCAATGTTATTCATTACAATCGTTATTTCTGTTTTCCTACACAAATGTTTTTCTTTTTGCAATTGGGATGCTCTTCCTGCAGGAACACAGGGCATGAGGCCAAGCACATACCCAGGTAGTATGAGGGAAATTCCCCAGTGAGCAGTGAAGGGGTCTACTGCCAACGGTGGGGGTGGGAAGCCTGTGGAGGGGCTGCCCTCTCCTCCCAAACATTCCCAAAGCCGGAGACTGTGAGGTGTGAGAAGCCGCAGGGGCTGAGGGGGAGAGGACTGGATGTTTAGTGCAGAGGGAGATAAGATAAACTGATACTTCTGTGGACTTACTGCAGCTTTCCACACACAGCCCTCAAGATGCTGTGAGGTTATAGGGGTCCTCTTGCAACTAATACAGTAATGACCTTGAATTCGCTTCCAGCTCAGCTGTACTGCTCGAGGACAAGGCTTTTCTTGTGAGCAAAAAAACATTAAAGCAGCACAGAGATTTGCCTGCATAGCTCCAGTCTTCAGGAGTTTTCAGTATCCTTTTTGAGGCCCCACTTGCAACAAGGGATTGTAGATAAGCTTCTGCAGTAGTTAATGTGTAAAGTTTTCAGGTTTATTCTCACTGGTGTCTCTCCTTTTGCTTGCGGTGTTGACAAAATATACTGCTGTATGCAGATTTTTTGTTTTGCACAAGTAATTTTTTGCTGCATGAAAAAGGTGATCATGTGCATGCTCACATGTGCGTGCCAGCCAGTACAAGTATGCTTTTATTGCCTTATGGGTGTTGGGGGAAAAAAAAAAATCACTTTGATTTAAAGATAATTAATAATACAACTCATTCCTTTTTCAGATTGTAACCTGAATGTCAAATTTAGGACTCCATACTAATTCTTCATGCTGAGGCAAGGCAGTCTGCTGCACCAAGCATATGCGATCACAGTCAATTACAAACTTTCATAGTCTCACACCTGAGTTAAGACTAAACTGTTTCTGTTTCTTATCAACTTCTGGTTATATGATACAGCAAAACTGGGGAAAAAAATGTGAAAAGCGTGAGATTTTGTTATGGATTATGTTTAAATTGTGTTTCGACTCGTTGCGTGACTCAGTGGAAAATATTGGTGACCTCTTCCTTTATAGCTTCGGCTTCCTGCAAGCTTGTCTGTTAAAAAGATTCTGCAGGATGCTTCCTTTGCGGATCCTGTAAGAAATGTATATTCAGCAGGAGGAACATCTGACTGAGCAAAGACTAACTTACACACTGGTTTGGAAGCCACGTGTTGAAAAGTGCTAGGGAAACACAGCAGGGAAAATGATAAAAAGGGATGAAAGCAGTTCAGATGGGTGAAGAATGCTGATTTAAAAAATGCAAACCATCTGAACACTGATGAGTGGGCAGTTTGCAGTAACTTCAGGGCAGACCTAAGTTGCACAACAGTCGTATACTGTAAGTCGACTCCCACAGGACATCGCCTGCAGTGATTTAAAATTGGAAGAGGGGGGAAGTATCGAGGTGCTGCAGAGAGCAATCTTGCAGCAGCAGAGTGCAAGTAGGAAATGGGTCAGTTGGAGTAATAGCTTTTTTCCGTGTGGTTTGTGTGAGCCAAGCCAAATGTGTGTGGAGCACAGGGTTATCATACTCATGATTTTTTTTTTTTCCTGATGTATTAGAAATGAAAGTGTTTGCAATGAAATTCAGTCATCGAAGTATGACATTATGAATCCTCTCTCTGTTTGGACACTGCCTTGAGTCCCAGTCAGCTTGCCTTTTTTAATGTTCTAGGCTTTGTCTAGATCATTAAAATAGACTGTGTTTGGAAATGTAATGCTGTGGCCTCACATTCCCAGGAGGTCAGCAGAAATGCTAGCCTGACATATCCCTGCTAATACCACCTGCGGTTTGTTCTCGCTTCTGCATTGTGGTAGGCAATCTCCTCGTTTGTGCTGAAACAACTGGATGTATGACCACACTGAAGTGGATAAAGGGGCTGACCCAGTTTAAAAAAAAAAAAAAAAAAAAAAAAACCAAACCAAAAAAACCCTCTATTTCCTCGCCCTAATCCCCTGCTGTATCAGTTTACTGGTCTGGTTTGTAATATGCCAGCCCCATACACAGGGGCGTTGGCAATGGCGGAGGCACGGTGCAGGAATGAGGGACAGAGTGGAGAACACCTTATACCAATGTTATTGCTGGTTTCTTTTCGATGTGAAAACACAGCCTTAGTTACAGCTTCAGTCTAAACTTTGCATTCAGCTTTGATGTACTTCAGCAGCTTGCAGAAAGGTGATAGCATATGGTGACTGTGTTTTTGGTCCCTCCTGACAGTCAGGTTTAAGCAGGTAGTGTGTTATCAGAGGTGTGTAAGCTGTGTGTGCTGTTCAGATGCAGTGTGATGAGATGGTGGCTCCTGAGGCACAGGCTGTTAATGAAATCCAAGCCTGCCCCCACTCCCGTTCCCCTTGTCTGATCACAGCTGGCTGGTACAAGTGGCTCTTAAGTCCCACCATTAAGTGGTCATTGAAACAAATGGAGTTAGAAAGAAAACTCAAAAAGAAGGAGCTTATTTTTAATCCAGATCAGGTAAGTGATCTGTCACTAAGTAGTACGCGGAGTTACACTGCAGTGTAGCAAATGAGTCTGATAATGACTATTGTGCAGGGAGGTGAATGATAAGGCTTATGATAGGGAGAGCTGGACTTTCTTCAGCCAGCTTTGCCACCAATGCCCACACCACTTGATTGAGCAAGTGAGTTCGTGTAAGGGCATAGTGTGCGTGATGGTCCAGCAATGTGCTAGTGTATTTTCCTTGGAACACAGCCTCCTCAGTCAGACTTTAATTTTGGACTATACATCCCTCCACTAATGCACAAGCTGTCCAAAATTCCCAGATATTAGTAAAGCACAGATTTGCGAGTTTAGGTCTGACATTCCCTACCCACTCCCTTTATGTAGATCTTTATCATTATCCTAAAAGCATGTATTTAGTTGTGCCATCCGTCCCCCTTTTTGGAAAATGCCAACTCCTCACGGCTTGATGTGCAGAACTCTTTCATGCCACCTCAGTGTGCGTGTGCCATCTGTAGCAGAGCTACAATAGTCACTCTTATTCGGGTCTGATCCTGGGCAACAAATAATGTAGCTCACTGATGCTGTACCAGTTCATGCCGGCTGAGGAAAATCTGACCCGTTGGTGTGATGCTCTGCCCAGCTCCCCCTTGATGCTATCCACAAAGCACCATCCTTTCCAGGCTGTGGGCAGAGGAGGGCTATCCAGCTGAAAGTTTGTGCTCCCTGCCTGGTCTCTTTGGGGACAGGCTTGCTCACAGTCCCACTGCGTAATGGCTTTCAATGGCAAAAGAGAAGACAGCTAATATTGTCCCCACTGTGCATACAGCCAGGCATGGGTTTTGCTTTTGCTCTCTTAATGCTACGCTTGGTATAGCAGAAGCAGGCAGGCACATGATCTCCCCGAAGGCAGGATCCAGTGTTACTGTAGAAACTGGCCACCAGCTTCTTTTGTAGCTAGCAGCTGTCACTGTGTGGTTACAGCCAAAGCGTGTCACTCCTACAGTGTCTGCAGGCTCTGGAGTTTGTTTCTGCTTCTGAATCTTCTATGCTACAGCTTGGAGATTAATTCTGCATTTTCTATCGAAGCTTGTTAAGGTATTTTTGAATTGTATGCATTTTTAGAACCATTCTTGATTAATATTTGATGTTCTTTCCAGGTTTCATTTTCCTTCACTAATACTTCAAGGCACAGAGGAGCTGGTAAAGGCATTGCCATGAAACCTAACTTGAAGCAATGGAAACAACTCATGCTATTTGGGATCTTTGCATGGGGTCTGCTTTTTCTGGTCATAT